GGGTGGGCTGCCGTGGCAAGTACAGGAGCAGCACGTCTAGTTAGTGGGACTAGAGGTTACCCCCTGGGGAACCCTCAGTTAGGATAAAACCCCACATTTCAGTGTGGAATTACCCTGTCGTCATGAGGTAGAGCAAAACCAGCGTAGGAGGAAGAGGACCCAGGGTCTGGGCATGGGATCAGGCTTGGACAGAGAGGGTCCTGTAGCTCACGCTGGCAAGTACAGGAGCAGCACGTCTAGTTAGTGGGACTAGAGGTTACCCCCTGGGGAACCCTCAGTTAGGATAAAACCCCACATTTCAGTGTGGAATTACCCTGTCGTCATGAGGTAGAGCAAAACCAGCGTAGGAGGAAGAGGACCCAGGGTCTGGGCATGGGATCAGGCTTGGACAGAGAGGGTCCTGTAGCTCACGCCTGGTTTCTAGCCACCGTGAGATGTCAGTGGTGTCTGTGCTAAGAGCTGGGCTGCCTGGCAGCAGGGGGAAGTATAAAAAGCAAAGTCAGAATTCAGGGAGACTCAGGCAGAGGCCAGATATGACACAGTGCTGAAACCTGCCCATCCTGAGCTCTTCTTTAGAGTGTTTGCAGGGATTAAAGAAAGATTGACCACAGTCCAGAGAAGTGATAACACCTAGTCCTGTAGTTCATACTGGTGTCTCAGGGATTGCTGGGCATCTGGTCATCTGAGACCTTCCTCAAGCACCTGAAAGATGGTAAACATTGTTGTCTACACGTTATAGTGGCTTCTGGTGAGGGCAAGGAAACAGTGCGGGCGATTTTGAGAGGTTCGGTCTGGTCATGGAAGAATGAGGATGCGTTTGTACATCAGCTTACATCACACCGAGCGTCGGGGCTGCCATGGTCTCCCCTTCAGCTCTGTGTCCTGCCTTGTTCCCTCTATAGTACAGGGGCTTGTGTGCCTGAGTGGGGCTGGTTCTTCCAGAAAACGATCACTGGTTAGGACTGGGAGCTGGTCTCAATTCCCAGAACAAACTCACTTTCCAGGAGCACCACTGTGGATGCTGTGGGGAGTGTGTGCGTGAGCCTGGGGCAGAGGAAGGAAGGTCTGCAGCAGCCCTTGGGTCAGCTGCATCCTGGCATTCTTGCTAAGTAAGGCATAATCGTGGAAATAAGGGGAAATAGATCAAGTTGTACATGGGGAAACAGTGCACGTGCAAGGAAATGGGCAGTTGATCGCTGTTACTAGGAACAGGGGTGGGCTGTGAGGTGTTGTGAACACGTGGATCTGATCTGGAGCCGTCTGAAAATAGAGGACTGGAGGGACCTTCTGGCCCACTGAGCCTTGGGTCCTGTTGTCACAGCACCACAGCGTACGGTGTTCCTTTCATTGACTCTGGAGTTGGGGATCTTGCTTTTCCACTGGAGGCTGCTCCAAGGTTTTTTGCTGAATTTTTAGAAAATAAGTTGTAGTTTCTGGCCCATGTTTATTCCTGGGCCACTTGGTATCCGTGTCTCCTTGTGCTAACATTGTCTTTTAGCTTAACTTAGTTCTTCTCCTTCTGGAAGTAGTTAGAGAGCAGTGATATCGTTCAGGGCAGCTCGCCTTTCGGTTGGTCCGGTGAGAGGGGCTCTCTGCTCGCCTTATCGAGTGTTGGTTTGAATTAAACTTCAGGAGGTGACCAGAGTGCCACCCAGCACTCTGGGGAAGAGCTGGTGGGGACCTGGTGCCACAGCACTGGCACCACCGTGTTCACAAGAAGCGTCTCTGGAAGCTCCTTTTCTTTGCTGTCTCCTTGGAGCAGGGGATGACCGGCCCGTCCTGGTCGCCTACCTGGTTATTCTCATCCGTTATTGTCACCTGCAAGTTCCCAGCTCATGGGAGAGTCCTTCAAGTGCACATCTGCATTGCGCTGCTGGACTTACCTCCTTTCTGGTGCTCTGTTCTAGATGTACTTCTTCTGCATGGTTTCAAATGCTGCGTTATCTGGCCTGACGTGGGACGACATCAGCAGGTTTCATCGGTGAATCTCGAAAATTTGTGCCAAAGTTATTCATAAAAATATTAAATGACGCTGGGCTCAGGAACGGTCCTCAAGAAAATCCTTTAGCAACTGCTCTCCAGCCTCATGTTCCGCTCGGGGCTCTGCCAGATGCTTTGCCCCTCAGATCAGGTGTTGGTGCATATAACGAGGCTTCTGGTGATGCTCCTGTTGTCCGTCGCAGCTGGTGGTTCTGTGCCAAGTGCCTTGCTGAATTCCGGGTAGATGAGATTGACCACTCTTCCTTTGTGGGACAGATCAGTTATTTTCCTGTGATAGGGAAGCTGTTGGGTGAGTCTGCTCTGGTGAGTGACAGAGCAGCTTTGGTGGGCGCCTGGCATCTGGCCAGGGCCGACCCACCACAAGCGCCTCCCGCAGTACGTGCCATGTGCATTGCCGTATTTTCCCTGTCCTTTCCTTCAGAACCTTTTACTACAAGCCTTGAGGTACTGCTGAGGTCAGACCTGAGCGTTTTGTGGCCAAAACTGTTTTTCCACGGCCTGTTCTAAATGCTGGCGCCATGTTTCCAGTCCCTCCAAGCAGCGCGTCGCGGAGTGTTGTAGAGTTTGCCGCAGCAGGGTCTCACGGGCGCAGTTCTGTCTTAAGTTGCGTTTTGGCTTCCCCTGCACCCGCACGTCCCCACTTGGAGCACGTTCCGTTATTTAACTTCCACTTCTTCGCCAGCGGTGTACGTTTTCCTTTCTGTCCCGTTTCTTTTGTCCTCTGAGCTTTGCCCCGGTGCTCAGCGCGGCTGCGGCTGGAAGCGAAGGGTGGGACTGGCTTGGCTGAGCGCAGGGGCTGGCCCGCGGCACCGACACCCGGGCTGGGTGTGCAGGCACGCTCCGCAGGCGGGAGGAGGTACCAGGGCAGCCGGTGCAAGTCGCAGCATCCTGAAGTAGCAGCCTTGACTTCGACTTGACAAGGTGAGGTGAGCAGGCTCTAACTGGCTGTAAGGGCGTCCGTCCTGCCTGCCTGGGGGTGGCCAGGCACGGGCAGGTCTGCTTCGCTTCCTCCGCCCGAGCCTCCCAAGCTGGGTGAGGTGAAGTACCCCTCAAAGCTGCCCCGTCATTTGCAGGCAAGGACAACCTTTTTTGCCTTTTTCTCAGCCTTTCCCTTTCTGCACGCTGTCCTCTCGCTCCGTTCCCGCGCACTCGGTACTGCTGGAGCTGGAAGCGCAGCCCTGTCTTTTCCTTTGCGCGGTGGCAAAAGTCAGGGTGAGTTGAAAAGGTCGCTTCACCCCTGTACTCGCCGCCGTCTGAGGTACACAAGTCCGTGGTGAGCAGGCCCTCTTCATCTCCAGTGAATGATCTGCTTGTTCTCAGCATCCTTCTCAAAGTGAACGTTTATCCACTTAGATTTGGGGTCCTTTCCTCTCAGGTTCCCTCACTGATGATACACATTCATGAAGTTTATGGCATCTTTTGAACTGAAGGTATTTTCTTTTTTTCCTGATCATCTGCGTCGTGACTGCAGAGGGCAGCTCTATGTATCACTCCATTTCTTTACTTTCTTAAAATTTGTCTTTTAAAATCAGAGACCCTGACTACAGACCTACTTTTGGTTTGTCCTTCCGTTAATTTACGCTGACCTAACTTCTGATTCACGCGAGTTACCTTCTAAAACCTGACCGCCTGGGTTTGCATTACTTTTAAAATCAACCAATTTAAAAAATAACCCAAAACAAACCCGGGTAAAACCTTTAAAAAGCATCACCTTTTGTGGTGGTTCTGTGACTGTTTGGTGAAGGTCAAGCAGTTTTGCATGTAGAGATACCCAGAGACATTACTGAGAGTGGTTGTTTCCCGTCTCTGTCAGGGCAATGAATGTTTCTCACAGGGACTTGTCCTGAGGACAGTATTTGTCTTTCTGATGATGTCACAGTGATTTTTGATCATACCTGGAGCCCCAGGGCCCCAGTACAAGCAGCTTATCTTTCGTTTCACCGAAGGATTTTAACAGAATGGATACTTTACCTTTGTACATATATCTCTTCAGTCAGCTGAATTCTGCCCATCCGATGCTTCCCACCCGTGTGTACCTTCGTCTCTGTTTGGCGTGACGCATCCCCCCTGGTGTCCGGTCCCAGTCGCTCCCCCCGTGTTGCTGTCACCCCTCCGCTCCCGTTCCTGCCCTGCACCAGCCG